CGTGTTGTTGAGCATGATTTCTCCCTTAAGGCTGACGTGCTCTGCGTTGAACTACTACCCCTCAGTGATGCTTCCCCTATTCGGTTTGTAGTCGTCTATCGGCCCCGCGGATTCGATAATTCAAATCAGTCAACTTCTGATTTATACCGTAGATTCTGTTCCCTCGTTTATCAAAATCTTGCTTTGCATGTCCCATTTAAGTCTCAGGGGCTCCGTTACTTCCGATATCCTTCTCACATTCAGAACCTTATTGATCAGAAAAAGCGGATATTCTGTCAGTCTTCCAACCCTTTGAGCTGCCCTATTTACAAGAAAATTTGTGCTGATATTGATCATCATCTTAGGAAGTTTTGCGCTAATCGTGAGCGAAGATTGGGTAAGCAAGCTTCTTTGAGAAAACTTCATGCCCATATTCGGAATAAAATGAAAGCGAAGGGTCATTTACCCCCAATTGTTGATAGGTACGGGATGCTATGTACTTCTGACGCTGAAAAAGCCAACGCCCTCAGTGATTTCTTCATGAGTGTCTTCACGAGTGGTGGAAGAAGTGCCTTTCCTCCTCCCACCAGGAGCGGCCGTTTGTCCACCCGGCCCCGCCTAAATGATATCTATTTCCATCCTACTGAAGTCTTTGATATTCTAAAAAAGCTGAAACCTTCCACATCTGAATCATTTGATGGGATACCTCCCATTGTATTCAAGAGATGCGCTGCCTCACTTTCAAAACCATTGGCGTTCATTTTTAATGTTTCCATGATGTTGGGAGAGGTTCCTGAGATCTGGAAAGATGCCCTTGTCACTGGAATTCCTAAATTGGACAGGGCTCATGCTGTATCCGATTTTCGGCCAATTAGTATAATTGTGTACTCCTGTCAAGGTTATGGAGAAAATTATCAGGGAAAGGCTTCTCTCTTGGCTTTTCAAAACTAAGAGCTTACCGAGAGAACAGCACGGGTTTCTTCTTGGACTTTCGACAACGACTAATTTAGTTGATAGCTTTCTCGATTGGAATGTAGCATTGAACCATGGTAGCCCGATTGATGTCATCTATGTGGATTTGTCCAAGGCCTTTGATAAGGTTAACCACGCTAAGCTCATTCAAAAGTTGGAGTCTCTAGGTATTGGTCAAATTCTGATGAAGTGGTTTGAATCCTATTTGTCTGACAGGCACATGACAGTGAGAGTGGGTAAAGAGTTCTCTAGCCGGTGTCGCTGCACCAGCGGGGTGCCTCAGGGTGGCGTGCTTTCTCCCTTACTTTTTCTTATCTACACTAGGGACTTAGCTCCTATTCTCAAAACATCGCCGGATATCAGATTTCAGCTTTATGCGGACGATATAAAAATATATGGCGTATATAATACTGCCAACAGTGATGTAGTCCAGGCTGCCCTCAGACGTTCTCTCGATAACTTAACGTGTTGGGCTTCTGAGTGGGACCTTGATATCAACCCAGCTAAGACTCTTGTCCTGCATTTGGGTGCAAACCCTTCTGGCAACTATAAAATTGGCAACGCTGACTTGATGAGTTGCGAAACAGCTAAGGATCTTGGCATCCTGGTTAACGCAAGATGTACTTTTTCAGACCACATTGACCAGGTTGTAAATAAGGCTTACGCAGCTCTTTTCTCTCTTTTCCGGAGCACTCTGAGTACTGATGTTCATATTCTGTTACGTCTATACCATACGTATGTGCTGCCACATTTAGAATACTGCTCACAGATTTGGAATCCATCATTGAAGAAGTATATTCTCAAACTTGAAAGGGTGCAGCAAACCTTTACTAGGTTACTTTTCCACCGAGTGAATCCACGTATGTCCTGGGATACGTTACCCACTTACAAAGAACGTCTGGAGCAGCTGGGCTTGAAAACTTTGAAGCATCGACGAGTCATTGCTGACCTCGTGTTCTGTTTTCGGCTTTTGCGGATGGAGCTTAGGCTACCTACTAGCAAGTATTGGGTTTTTAGGCCGGTTAGCGAGAGAACAGGTGGTTTTAATCTTCATTATGCCATTATCAAAAAGAAGAACCATTCTCAATTGCATGATTTCGTTCTATACCGCGGGGCAAGGTGGTTACAACGTCTGCCTGCAGAAGTACTAGCAGCTAAAGATGGTCGATGCTTTAGAAGGATGTTGGAGAAAGTGAACCTGTTGCAGGTACTGAATCTGGAGGATTCTTGCTAGCTTTTCTATTTCTCTTGCTAGCTTTCTAATGCTACTGATATTTTAGTGACTTGTCTTTCATTATCGTTGAGGTGCAGTGGTCCTTATAGCCGGTTCTCTCCTGAGCTCTGGTGTTATCCAGCGATGTGGCTGTAAGACGATGCAGTGAGCGGTGACCGTGGGTCACTGGCAGTGTTGGAGTGCTGTCTTTGAATTCTTTGAATTCTTTTCATTCAACGATTTTTCTGAGAAAGATGGATTCTGAATTCAATTGTAAAGGGAACCTGAGCGCTTTGTTCTTTTAGTGATGCTTCTCCAGATTTTTCTAAGGCTGTTTTTTTCAATAGTTTTTTTTTCAGTTGAATAGTTTTAGTTTACTTTCCTGCAGTACACTGGGTTCAGCATTGGTAAATCATTTTTGAGCCTACTATCTCTTTATTTTCTAAATATTCATCCTTGTGACTTCCTATGATTGGGGTGTGTTTTTCTTCCTACTGGCCCCCTTTTTTTTTAGCTGGACCAGATTTCGGCTGATTTTCACGTTGCCAAATGGCCTTCAGGCCTCTGCTTCCTATGCGTGCGACTGTAGGCCGTCTCATATACGCATGATTAAGTATGATGAAATCGCATCCTTTTTTTTCATCGTAGAATACTTATCAACACAGTCAACTACCACGTAAGCACCACTGGGCCAGCGGTAGGGTCTGTGTTTAGGTTAATGAGGTGCGGCGTGCATCCGCCCTACATGCTGCGGCCTCAGGCTTGGTTATCTTATTTGGCAGTTAACTCTGTTAAGACAATGGCCTACTATTATGGATGCTTTTTGTTGATTCCTTTCGGGCAAAATCATGTCCTATCTTCGGTCCCTGTCCATAAAATCGATCTGCTGGATTACACTTCCGCCACCTCATTAGGAGGTCACGACTTACTCATACACCAGCTGTCGGCTCTTCTAGTACTAATGGTGTTCCCCAGTGTAGCTCTCCTATTGTTCTATTGTTGTTATGTGATGTTCCTTTCTTTACTGTGCACACCTTTGAGTGTATCCAAATAAATAAATAAATAAATAAATAAACATCCTGCATGTGCATGCCCGGAAAAACCGATTGAGGCTTTGTCATGTTTTCCTTCATATTGCACGTACTATAATATTGATACCAAAGTCAGTACCACTTTCATCTCCTGCTTGTCGCCAATCAGTCTGCCTTTTTCCCGGCGCTTCCCTTATTTTCCTTTCATCTAGATTATTTCAATGGCGGATGGAGACGAGAAGTCCGACGATCTCTACTGCAAGTGCTGAAGCGTGCAGTACCTTGAGAATGAATTTTCCAGGTGATTCCGTGGACTCGGCGAAGTTCTTCGTATTCATCAGTCTTGTCAGGTGGCCTTGATGTTTCTCCGATGGCAAGCATGTTACAAGTAAGGCATACCACCCTGTACACCATACACCATACAACCCGAATGCTTTCAGTGAAATTGAAGAAGGCATTTCATATTATGAAATAGACTCCGGGTTCCTAGGGGTCTTGCATCGTTATGCTAATGTCTCTAGGGTGTCTGTCTGCTTTGTACTTCGAACGCCAATCGCTTTTCTTATGGGATGGATCCTGTGGCCTCCTTAGCACATGCCCATACCATCGCAGACGCTGTTCCCGTACCTTCAGCTGGACAGGGGCAGTCTGCATGACCGCTCTGACATCCTCGTTTCTGACCCTGTCCAGCCGCGTCCAGCCGCAGGCCCATCTCAGCATCCTCATTTCAGCGGAGTGAAGCTGCCTTTCGTGATTCTTGTTCAGGGGCCAGCACTCGCTGCCGTAGAGCATCGCAGGCCTTACCACTGTCCGGTACACCTTCCCTTTGAGCGCTCTGGAGCACCTTCGATCGCAGAGGATTCCAGTGGACTCCCTCCATTTCATCCATGCAGCGTTGACCCGAGCCTTCACCGCCTGATCCACACTACCGTCGGCTGCCAGATCGCTCCCAAGGTATCGGAAGTCCTCCACTCTTTCGATGGTCTCACCATGGCCGTCCACGATCGGCTCTGCACCCTCTTCAGAGCTCAGGAACTTGGTCTTCTTGACATTCAGCCGGAGCCCACCTTCTGCCAGGACTTTCTGCCATTTCTGCACCTTGGCTTGAAGTTCCTCTCTGCTATCCGCTATCAGGGCGATGTCGTCAGCGTAGAGGATGGTCTTCAGTGGTCCTTCCATGAGCCCCTTCACCAGGACATCTAGTGTTAGGAGGAAGAGGAACGGGCTCAGAGCTGACCCTTGGTGCACCCCAACCGTGATGTTCACCTCCTTCGTTAGGCCATGTGAGGTGCATAATGTCTCTGGGAAGCTATCCAACATTGAATCGATTCAAGAAATTATGTAAGAGCTTCAGGCTGAAGCAGTTACGGTAGGCCTCCTTGAGCTCGACGACGGTGACAGATGACGTCATATTCTGAAGACGGTGAGGGCAGTGAAGGAGGGCCTGCGTCACTATAGAGGGACATTTAGGGAATATTTTGCTGAGGAACTTCCGTCAACAACGGCAATCTTTTGTGACCAAGAAGAGCAAGATGTCTTTTTTTGCTCCCCCCCCACCCCGCTTGCACATATTTACTTGTTTGTGCGCGTTTAGATACAGTGTTCTAGGCTTATACAAGCTACACAACGTAACCCTGGAGCACCAATCATTTGCTCTATCAACTACTAGTTGCAAAAAGGGAGGCAAGCCGAGCCAAACAGTGTAACATGTGCGTTGAGGAGAAACAACAAAGAGTGCATGTTCAGGTTTATTAACGAATGGAAGTGAAAATGATTTGTTGAAAATATGGCTCAGCACATGGTGCTTAATAGCCTGGAGCTGTGCGAGGAGGTGGGCAATGGTCGCAGCTTCCTTGAGATCCAGTGCTACCGTCATCTCCTGGTCGTCCGTCGGCTCCTGGGTTTCCTGGGCCACCAGGCTGTCCATTATCTCCAGGCAGTCCTGGGCCACCATCTCGTCCTGGGTTTCCTGGGCCTCCAGGTTGTCCATCGGGACCGGGAGGTCCTTGGGGACCAGGTGGTCCGGGTGGTCCTTGCGATCCAGGTCCCTGAGTGAGTACTCCTGGGGCTCCAGGTGCACCAGGGTTTCCAGGCTGACCAGCGTTTCCGGGTGGTCCTGGTGGTCCAATGGGTCCTGGTCCTCCTGGGTTTCCAGCATTTCCTGGCTGACCGTCAGATCCAGGATTTCCTGGTGTCCTCTTGCCTCCTGGGTTTCCAGGTGGACCAGGAGGGCCGGGTGGGCAATTGAAGCATGGACGTCCAACATCGGGAGCTGGTGTGGCTGGTGGTCCGTCAGGTCCATTTCTACCAGGTTGTCCAGGTCGTCCATCGGATCCAGGCTGTCCATCTTGTCCAGGAGGTCCGGGTGGTCCTGCTGGTGAGACTCCACAACCGCAGCATCCGCCGCCGGACTGACGAGCTTTCCTGGTGGGTGCGGCAAGGACCTGAAATCCATGAATTTTATCCGAGGTAAACATGAGAAAATTGAAGAAGAAGGTGTAAAACGAACCTGAGTGCGAGTGACTTCTCTCCAGATGTTTCCTGAGCGGGACTTGCAGAAGTCGACTTCGTTCTGCATGACCGACTGCATGTGCTGCATGTAGTTGTACAGCATGGGCACGGAGATCACACAGACGAGCGTGGCCACGGTGGAGAGGGCCACTCCGAAGAAGGCGAGTCTCCTCAGGGAGAGCGCCTCCGATTCCCAGTGTTTCTCGTCGCCGGTCATGCTTCTGCTTGTGAACAACCGTTGCTGGCCCCTTTTATACAATTTCTTCGCGAAAACATATGTAGCGTAAGAAATTCGATTCTCTCCTTGACCCGTTTACAGGTTATCGCGAAGTCAGTTGAAGTAGGTTATCAGTAATTACTCGAGAATAATCAGCGCTCCCATCTTTCAGCCGAGTAACTCGACTCATCGGAGATTAGCGTATTAAATTTCAATGTCATTAGATTCAATAAATTCTTTCTGGCAGAAAACTACGAGAATCTCCTGATCGGTCGGCCACTTGCAGGTCATACGACGGCTAGTGAAGGACTTTTTTCAGCTGGGCAATGAGAGTTATTCGAGAAATATCTACTACCTGAGTTGAAGACATCTTGACCTTGTGAATAGCATACAATTCTTGATTTTTTGATATAATCACATTTGCAAAAGAAAACTATTTTGTTCCTTTCCGTGGCCTCTGCCCTAGGATTTTTCCAGTTGTGAAATTTGATGGTGGCGACATTTTTTGAATTCTCGAGTTCATATGGAAAAGTTCATATGGCCAAGTACTGGCTAATGACCTGCTTCGATTCTACTTGAAGGTTTATTGATTGATAGTCTTCTCAATCATCATCGTAGCACGATCTCTTATTTGCTAGTAAAAATGTCTGTGATCAAAACAGTAGCGCGGATGGTGCAATGGCAAGTGGTGCAGAACGTCGCTACAAGGGACAATGCCAGATTGAATGCAGTTCTGGCCATACGAACCTATCTGAGACCCGACCTTAGTGGCACCAGCTCCCTTGATCAAAATAAGAACTTTTAATTCTGAATGGGATGTCTCCTACAATTTGTAGTGTGGCTCGAATCGCACTCATATTCCGCTGCAGTACTTGAACGGAATACAATACGCAGCTCAATCCAAAAAGAATTGTTTAGACGGAATGTGAAGTGGGAAAAGGAGAGGAGGCACTCCATTGTGTTGTCTCTAAGCTGAGAAAAACAGCAAATCGACTCCGATGAGGATTCCTTGCTGAAAAGGACTGGTGCATTTTACAGAGAGGTGCCAAAAATGTCACTTTGCCCATGGCTCAAATCGGGGGGAGAGAAAAGCTTACCGGCGGCGCGGACGCGAGCGCGTGCCGGTGACGTCGTCGCTGGTGCCAGTTTTCGAAGGAAGGGCGAGCAGTGGCCAGCGCCGCTGCCACTTTGCTTGAATAAAGCTGGGCTTTTGGCACTATACCAACTTGTTCAATCAGTTGTGCCGCGAGAGAAATGATTGTGTTATGTTCAGGTACCATCCTTGCCTTAAGAGTTTGAATTTCTTTGAAAATGTAGAGGAAGTTGAGCTTTTCATGTGCTAACTCAGGAGTACAAGTGTAAAGTTGGACTTGAATCAATTAAGTGTTCGTCGAGCACGACTCCTACTTACTTCCACTGACTACGCAGTGAAGGAAGAGCAATGTAGATGCTTGGAGTGCTTTGTATTAAGCTAGTCGTAGTGGGGCTGGCTCTTACTCGCTCGCTCCCTCGCCGTTGTTGTGACGTCACCAGCATGCGAACGCGTCGGAGGGCAAAACCTCTAAAAGTTTAGGTGTTCAAGAGAGTTTTCGTTACACTCAAACCCCTTCCATATCTGAGGGCTATGAGAAGACGAAGAAGTCCTGATTAGTAATTAATCTTCAGCCTAATAATTTAAAACCCCAATTAATATGCTGGCGAGCTAAATGGCACATTCTAAAATTCTATATAAATTAGCTCTTAATAAACATTTCTGTAAGTCGTGCTAGTCATAGATATTATGGAACTTGCTTATAATTATTGGGGTGTTACAAATGTTTTAAATGCACAAAGAAGGAAATTTTAAGGTGGCACCCACCATTGGGTGCCATTGTCCCACGCGGCGAACATAGTGGCACCCACCGGTGGGTGCCATTGTCGTCAAAGGGTTAAGGCACTCTTTCCAATTTCACATCCTCAAATTAATGGCTCTCTTATCCCTTGGTTTCAGCTTGCTCGACCACCTACAGGGGGGGGGCAAAAAAAAGAGTCACTTCTCTCCACATTCAAAACGCAATTAATCTCGAACTGCGGAACCAAATCAAATGA